AGACCAAAAAAGAAAAAGAACCGTTCTTCCTCATCAGTTCCAGCTGCACTTTTCATTTTGAGATAACTTGGGTTATGACCTGTGTTTTCTCTTCTTGGTGAGCTTCTAGTTTCTAGGCATTCAGAATGACATTTGGCCTTAGATACTTTTCAAATTCACTGTCAAGGTTAGATTAGTGAAACAAGTCTATTCTATTTCTTCTATCCATTTTATTCCTCACAAGGAGCTGTAACAATTCCCAATCATAAGTACTAAAAAGAATTCTCTTATGTGAACAATGCATTTAACACTTAAAAGAAAATGTGGATCTTGTATTGGATTGAACGTAAAGGAAAGACAGGATAAGAATATGGACAGAAGTGTATTTTGTAAGTTGGGTACCTAGCACACATCACTAACTTTTCCATAGAAAATAGTGGAGGTTATATTGGCTCTAGAATCCTTCGAATGCATTGTATTGATGGCTTGATCTCTAGTCTGTGACACTATTGGGAGGTTTTGTAGCCTTTAGAAGATAGGATCTAATAAAATAAAATTAAGTCATTGGGATCATGCCTTGAAGGAGATTTTTTGGGGGGAAGGGGAGGTCTGGTCGTGGGCCTGAACTCTGGGCCTGGGCACTGTCCCTCAGCTCTTCAGCTCAAGGCTAGCTAACTCTACCACTTGAGCCACAGTGCCACTTCCAGCTTTTTCTGCTTATGTGGTGCTGAGGAATCGAACCCAGGGCCTCATGTATTCAAGGCAAGCGCTCTACCACTGAGCCACCTTCCCAGGCCCTGAAGGAGATTTTTAAACCTCAGCCCATTTTGCCTTGTTTTCTTGTCTCTATGACATGAACAGGCCTCTGCCCCATGTTCCCCCTATGACCTACTATGCTGCCATAGGTCCCCAAAATGGGACTAAGCAAGTATGGATTGAAACATGTGAAATCCTAAACCCAAATGAACCTTTTCTTCTTTTAGATCAGGTTATATCAGCTGAGTGCCATCAATAGAACAGCTGCTAGAGGACCATTAGAAGGAGGGAGCAGCTGACTGTGGTGCAGGTAACTCTCCATCAGGATCCCAAGTAGTGAGTTTTGCTCAAAGTATAGCTGACAGAGTAGGCAGGGCATACAGATGGTCTTGGACAGGAAAGTGGAGGAAGCCAAGAGACAGAAGCCAGAATGAGGGACCTACAAGGGTTAGGGTTAGAGTCCCAGGAAATAAGGTATGGGCGTTCCCGGCTGGAGAAGTACATTTCCTTTACTTTAGCTCTTCTCACTCTGGACAGACAGGAAAGGAGACACCAAAGTGGACTGAACTTGAGCAGATACACCATGCTTATTTTATTTCATTTGTACTTCAGTATTTCTTTGCTCATTCCTCTCAGAGGGAATTATTCATTTAAGCCATTCTAATTACTTCTTCACATGAATACAGGGTTGGAATGAAAAATCAGAACAATTAGATATGAGTGCAAAAGGGAATAATTATAACGAGGTATCATCTTTTCAAAATTGTTTTCTATAAAGTGGTTTTTGTGTGTTACACTTATTCCAACAAATGCAAAGCCAATTTGGATTTTTATATGCGTCTCAGATGAGCATTCCACAGAAATCCTGACTGAAACATGCCTCTCTCTCTTGCTAGTAGGATACCTCAAACTTTGATGAGGCATTCAGCAGTCTATAACACCATGAGTGCTGTGAAGTGTTAAGTTAATCCTGTAAAGTGAGAATAAAACCCCAGGAAGGAAGAATGAATGGAACAGCCTCTTAAAAGGCATAATCAAAATGAGTGAAATCTTGTTGTGTTTTGCAGTTCTCATAAATTGCATGGAACTGAGAGAAAACTTCTTAAATGTGTTCAGTTAAAACTGAGTTACCTTGCATGAGTCTTATCTTACAAGACACTTTATTTTTATTAAAGTTAACTTTTCCTGGCCAAGTGGCTGGAATAAAAAAATTAGTTCCTGTGATTTTCTCTGAGGTTTCTATCAAACAATAAACCTTGGGGATCCATAGTTCATTAGGAAATACTGAAATTAAAGGCAGACTTATATTAAATCAGAATTCATGCAAGAAAACTGAGTTTTAAATACAAGAGAGGATGTAGCTGAACAACAACAGCAAAAGTTCCTGGGATCAGTGACAAATCATCAAGGTGGGAATTGTACAGTTGGTGGTAGAAGTCAAGCACTCTCTCTCTGCCTCCATCCAGTGTCACACTAGAATTTTGCATCTCTTATTTAATACAGTCCTGGATTCTCTCAATGTTAGGAATGGAAAATGAATAGAGCAATTTATTTTGAGCTACAAGACTGTTCAAACTAAATACTGTAGCTGGAATTTAAACCAAAGCCCATTTGGCACAAAAGCCCATCTATTCCCAATTGATGAGTTGAAAATGAAGAAAAGTTAGGGTCAGTAAGGAAAGTTTCAGGGAACCCATCATGATTGACAGTGCTTCTCTGTGTGAGTTTTGTTTTCTTGAACTAGATGGCATGTACATGTGGATGAAGAACAGGTGGGTTGGGCTAGACTCATGCTTGTTGATAGAAAGCTGTGGAAATCCCTGCAGTTGAGAACCTGCTCACCAAGAGAAGTCAGCGTAAAGGCAAGAGTCTGCAACCCTTCGTATGCAATATGTATTTCATTAAAACTTGTTTGATCTTTTTCTATATGAGAAAGTGACATCTTGCGAAAACTCGTTATTTCTGTAGGCACTGGGATAAGGCTGCAATGGTTGGTGAGAGGTACTGTGTCTCAGTCACATGTGGAGTTGGAAGTATTCCAATAGCATTTGTTTTCAACATAGGTCATTCAAGAGGGATCATCTTTATTTTGTTAGGAGTAGAAAGAGTCTCCCCATTACTAATGACATTCAGGACCAGTTGGCACTTTCTGGTGATTAGGAACTGTCTCTTCTTTGCTCTGATGGAGTAAAACTTGCAAACTAAATACAATTGTTCTGTCCTTTGTGGTATATGATATATGTCACCAATGTTTTATTTGTGCTTGAGTGAGTTTTGGGAGACCCAAGTTTGGTTTGATTATAATCTCTTTTCTTTATTTCGTAGTATATAGAACTTCAATAACCATACAATTCACAATATCCAGGCTTTAAATGTCATCCTCATCCTCAAAGACATAGGGCTGACCATTGCAAACTTTTAAAGCAGTGTCTGAAAAGAAGTAAACAATACAAACTATGAATGCGTATATAAACAATCATTGCAGAGCTACTTACTCTCATTTGTAGGAACTTACTCTAGTATAGACTAGTTTTGTCTTTGTGATCATATTCAGATTTATTTAATCTTTCAATGCTTAACAATTGAAATTGAAAAAACTAGTAACCTTCATCCTTTTACCGACCTCTATATTAAGAGCTGTCTTTTCTTATTGGTGCTATAAATTTATAAGACAATTGAACATGAAGGCCATTATTCTCATCTGAAACAAAGTTCCTGGACAAAATACCTATGTCATTGTTATGGCTTGAATTTTAAAATGTGTTAAATGCTTGGTTGGGCTTTTAGACTTGATTGGAACACAAGGGTTTGAAGCCACTGAATACGTACCTTTGAAGGGCATATCTTGTCCCTGGCCCCTTTGCATTGGTCATTCTCTGCCTGTTGTTTGCCAAGAAGTGAGTCACTTTGGTCCATGCACGCTTCCCACCATGACATTCTGTCCCATCACAAAGAAGTAACAGGGACAAAATGGCCATAGACTGAAACCTCTGAAACTGCCAACCAAAACAACTCTTTATTCCTTTAAACTATTCCTTTCACATGTTTCTCATAATAACAAAAATTCTAACCGAGCCATGTTATAAAGGAAATATTCCATTATACTTATTGAATCCATAGTAAAGAAGCTTTTATTCAAGACCATTGTAAATATAGGGAATGTGGAAATGAGATTTGGCAGTGAAGGAGAGGATTTGAACTCAGCTTCAAATATAGGATGAGCAAGTGGGAAGTTATAGCCATAGCATAGCTGGCCAGAAGACAGAAAAACTCTAAGGAGAATCAGAGGTGAGAAAGATTTTGGCTTAAGTGACCTAACAGGAATCTTGTTGAAGATGGCCATGATGAAGTGTCTTTACCTGGTCAACTATGGAGGTTGATGGGCCCAATTAGATATTATGAGTAAGAGATATTGAGAGAACTTATATTGTACTCAGGAAAGACAGCTTCATTCCTTGAATAAGAATCTGGAAAACTGGCAATCTTGACCAAACTAATAGAGCTTCTGAGCCTTCTCCTACTCCCATCCTTGTAAAATCTAGTTTTAAAAAACAATCTTGCTAAGGTGGTGTTACAGAACTCTCTGCCCTCAATATCTGGTCACCTTTGATATCTGATTGGGTCTCTCATGTTCCACCATCCTCCAGGTTATAGTTGATGCAGTAAAGACAATTTAGGCAGAATGCCCTTACTTCTTACATTTTCTTGTCATAACTTTCATACAGATTTCTCCCCCACTGCTTGGATGTAAGTACTATACTGAGATCTTTTTCTTTCTTATGAACTAGTTCTGGATGCAACTTGTTTTTCTGTTTTTTGTTGTTGTTTTCTGTTTTGTTTTGTTTTTTAGTGAGCAGATCTAGGCTCTGTGTACTCGTACATGTGCATTTGCAGGTTAGTGTGTGTTTGGAAATAGCACCACCTCTTGTGAATGACTCCTTAGACTCCCACAGATGGTTTCCTCTTATCTAGTTCTAGTGGTGTGCTAGGCTCCTCACCACCCTCAGGTGGAAACCCACCCTTCTCTGGGCATGGGCTTTGCATGGTTCTAAAACACATCCACTGTTTTTACACCCCATAACTGGATTTTCTCTCCTTTCTCTAGAATTGGCATACCACCAATCTGACTCTTAGAATGATTTAGTATTGAAGAAAGTGAACTGTATCTGGGAAGTTCAAGGGCTGAAGGTTACAAGGTCACCTGGTTTCTTTGAAAAACTTCTTTTGACCTATGGCATGTGGAAAGGCACACAAATGATAACTACACAGCCCAGTGAACTAAAGTGATTATGTCTGCTCCCCAAGTCCAGCAATCAAACACTCCCAGCACCAACGATGGTGCCCAGGCCTCTCCATCTTGAGCGCTGTCCTCCCTCTAACACCACCGAGCCAGTGTCCTGTCAAAGAACTTCCTAGGAAGGGAATCAATTGTACAGTATGTGTCCAGTTCATCCATGCTCTTTCTCATAATATTATGAAACATTCATGTGGTCAGATGTCGGTAAACTGTTCACGTTGATATAAAGGTGTCGTTACATGATGTTCATGTTCACGTTGATATAAAGTGTTTTGATTCATGTGTGTACCAACACTTGTTTACTGTTTTCTCTTTCATAGATATCTGGAAGCGCACTCTCGTTGCTAGCTCTCATAAACAATGCTGCCAAGAACATTCTTGCACCAGTCTTTAGATACAAGGAAGCACACATTTCTACACACGCAGCCCTTGCACAGAGCACTGGGTCCAGCAGTGACTTCCACGGCTCCCATATCCATGCAAACTCCCGGCACAGACTTTTCATTTTAGCTCTTGTGATCACACCGTAGTAACTTGTGGTTTTAATCAGTTTTAACCTGTATGTCTTTTTATTTACTTCTATGTTCTTTTAGTAGTATCTTCTGGTTTTAATCAATTTTATTTTTATTAACTTTTTAAAAATAAAAAGTGACCAATAAAGTTTGTTACTAAATCAAGCCAAGAAAGAATAGTACAGACTCCAGAAATAGATGCAAGGCATTGCTGAAAGAGATTTTATTTATTTGTGTGTGTGTGTGTGTGTGTGTGTGTGTGTGTGTGTGTGTGTGTGTGTGTTTGTTTGTTTGTTTATTGTGCTGGTCCTGGGGTTTGAATTCAAGGCCTGAGTGCTGTCCTTGAGTTTTATTTGCTCAAGGTTATAGCTCTGCTATTTGAGTCCCATCTCCATTTCTGACTTTATTTCTTACTTTTGTTTTAGGTGACAGTTAGTTGGAGATCTGAGTGTCACAAATTCCCCCCTCCTGCCCCTACCCCTCCCTGCCTACACCGACTTTGAGCTGTGATCTTCATATCTTAGCCTCTTCAATAGCTAGGATTATAGGTGTGCACCACTAGAACCTGCTTGGAAGAGATGTTTTTAAATGTCCAACTGTATTTGAATATTTCCAGACCATTAGATTATCCTCTTTTGGAAAATCTGTTGCTAGTTCTCCAGTGTTTTGTCTTTTTCTTGCTGATTCAGTTGTTTATATTGCATTTAAGTGGAGGCATACATTGATTTAAAAAACGAATCAAGGCAGCATCAAATTGGAACTTGACCAAGTACTCAGTTGCTCCTGGGGTCTCACTGGAAGTCTGTGTGATGGTGGGTTGCTACTTTTGTTGTGTTCCTCTGGTAGATGGAGGCCCAGCAGGACATGGTGGAGGAGAGTCTTGGTGGGGTGTTACTGGCTTGCTTTCCTGCTTACTCTGGTCCTTCAGAGGTGAGGAGTTACTGTTAATCTCTGTGCTTGGTTAGGAATGTTTGCTCTGATGGTGAGATCCTATCAACAAATGTGCCGAATGAGGGATGAAGTGGGAGGAAGATGACAATCCCCATGTCCTTCACGGAGCTGGTTGTCAATGTGTCCATGGGAAAGTTGGCCTTCATCAGCACCATGACAGCTGGTGGCCCCAGCTCTGTCTCCTTGTACTCCAGCGATGAGAGAAACCCCAACTGTGCTACCCCAGGGAAATGGACCCGCAGCAGGCCCAGCGTTAGCTGTGGGAACCTTTTTCTCTTTTCATGTGCCATGTGCCATGCATCACCCCACTCAGTGATCTCCTACCTTCCCAATGGAGGCTCCAAGGAGCCTCCTAGCTTTGGACGAGAGTTCTTCACATAGTTGAAGATGACCATCATGCCATTATCTTTTTTATTTTTCCTTTATACTGAAAATATAGTTTTTTCTGCTTTAATTATTGTTTAGCTCTGGGTTTTTTTTTTTTTTTTTTGCTAACTTTGTAAAGGAATGCAGACTAGTTTTATATGAAGCATTCTAGTCAGTTTGGGCTGCTGTAACAATGTACCAGAGATTCGGTAGTTAATAAACAATAAAAAAAATATTTCTTTTACTGCTTGCCAGTGGAAACTTATCAAGGTGTCAGCATGGCTGAATTATGGTGAGTGCTTCTTCCAGCTAGCCAACTTCTTGTTTTAACTTCACAGAGCAAAAAGAAGATCCTCAGTTTCCCTGCCTTTTTCTTATAAGGGCACCAATTTTATTCTTTTTTAAAAAATGTATTTTTTATGATCTTTAAGTAATTTTACAAAGGAGATGCCACTTGACAAAACAGTTTATGAAAACACTGCATCTTGATCAATGCCATCTCTTTCAACCTTCTCCCCATCCTTCCCCATCCAACCCCTTCTTTCACTTTTCTTAATTGTGTAGGATATGCATTGAATTTTATGACTGCATTCTCCCACTAATTTTATTCTTGAGACTTCACCCACATGAGCTAATTATCTTCCAAAGTATCCACCTTCTGATATCATCTTGCTGGAGGTTAAAATTCAATATATGAATTTTGGAGAGACACAAACATCTGATCCCAATTATTAGGGAGTAATTAGGGTATAATTGTTATAGCCTAATATTAGAATGATAGACTATAATTAGGATTATTAAGATATAATTTATTATTATTATTATTGCTATTAAGGTATATACTCTTCCTAAACTTGATTTATCCCTACACATTGCCTTCATGGCTCCACCCTTCCTCTCCTTCTGGTACTGGATTTGTTGGGCACCTAGTCCCAAGACAGAGAAGCATAATAAAAGCTGATTATTAGTGTTACTACAGAGGTGTGTGGTCTCCATCTCTGAATGGAAAGAATAAATTATTATATTCAAATTAAAACAAAGCTTTGGAATAATTATTGTTAATTTTTCATTTGTGTTAAACGGAAATATTACTATGTAGTACAATTTGCACTTCTGAGTTATAAGTCAACCAACTTCCTACTTAAAAATTTCTTGCTGGGTTTATTTAGTGTCCTTATTAAAAGAAAAAAATTTAAATTGTGAAACCACATGGCACAGAGGCATTACTATATAGAGAGCAGCTGAGTAATTATCAAGAAACAATAGTTTCTTTCTCATGGACTGTCTTTCTGCATTTGAGCAAAGAATGAGATTTGAATGAGAGGGCAATCTGAAAAAGAACCATGCATAACAAGTGCCATGCCTACAATCCTTAATCGTTTGCAGAGGTAATAACCAGAACGACAGAGAATTTCATGAATAAAATTGCTTCTCATTATGGACTCAAATTGGGAAATTATCTCTGATTTACTTAAAATATGAGTGAAGGTTTGCATAACCTCTCCATACAGCATTGCTACCTTTCACCAGCTCCTTATCCAAAGCAAGTTAAAAAGGGCATTAGGAAATCATAGTTGGACATTAACTAAGTGGAAGATTTCTCTCTAATATGATTACATGCTAATTCTTTAGTTCTTTGAAATTTTATATGAAATCATGTTTAGTTAACTAAGTCATAGTTTACTGATTCTTCAGAGCTAAGAGAACCCCTAATTAGGGGTTAGACCTGTATTAGTTATTTCCTCATTGTAGTGACAAAATTCTTTTGGCTCAGGGTTTCAGAGGCTTTCGTCCCTAGTTGGTCAGCTCTATTGTTTCTGGTCCTGTGGAGAGGCAGAAATCATGGTAGAAGGGTGTAGAGGATCAGAGCTACTCAACTCATGGTAGCGAGGGAGAAGAAAGACAGATGCAGAGAGACAGAGGGAGAGGGAGGAGAGAGCAAGAGAGCATACAGGAACAAGATATTCAAAATAAAGGCATGCATGCCGTTATTGATATCATTCCAAGTTTTCACTACTGTCCTAAATGACAACACCAAACAACTGTTAGGGACCAAATCTATAGGGACATTTTATATTCAAACCATAAAAGAGGTCGGTCCCCCAAAATTCCCACCATGTATGTACTTAATGAAGACTGAAAAGAGGAGTTCTACATATCTTCCTTCTCAATTCTGTTGCCTGTGATCTCATCTGAATTCCCATCATCTATTGTTGGATATTGTTTATATTTGGCTCGCCATGTTTTGTGGCACTATGCCAACAGCACAATAAAACATTGTCTTGCTTTGTAGGAAAAACAATTGTTTTATCGTTATTTATTCTAAAAATACAGCTGAAGTAACGTTAAATACTAAGACCCTCTTTAAAGAAAACTTCTTTTTTTTACCTCCTCCTTTGTTTTCCCCCTACCATCCCTTCCCTCCCACCTCCACAACTACACTCTATTACCCCCCTCACCTAAATTGTAAAGTTCATTTTTCAACATAGTGTCTTGTACATCGCATTGTTACAATGGGTCAAACTGTATCCCTATTTAAGCATTTTGTTTTTTCCGTTCCCCTCCCTAAATTAGAGAAGTGTATATACAAGATGCAGGGCACTGACATCAAATACAGTGAAAACCATGGGAGAAGAACATATAAAGAAACAAGAAAAAACACATGGTACCTTATAAATACCTTAGAAACAATAGCAAGAAAAATAAAACCACTTGTGTCCCTATCTTGGGGTTCATTTCACTTAACATAATCTTATCTGGTCATATGTACATAGCTTTTGACCTTTTCTGCTTGTCCCAGATATATACTAGTTATTGCAAATAAGGGAAACCATGGGACCTATGCTTCTTTGGGCCTGGCTTACTTAATATTTTTTCCAAGTCTTTCCATTTCCTAACAAACGGGATGGTGTCATTCTTTTTGATGGAAGCATAGAATTCCTATGTGTGTGTGTGTGTGTGTGTGTGTGTGTGTGTGAGTGTGTGTGTGTGTGTGTGTGTGTGTGTACCACATTTTCTTGATCCATTCATCTACTGAGGGGCATCTGGGTTGGCTCCATATCTTAGCTAAGGTAAATAATGCTGCAATAAACATAGTTGTGCTGGTAGCTTTAGTATGGTCTTGTTTGTGATCATTGGGTAAATACCCCAA